TAGTGCATCTCCTGTTTTAAAAAGGTTGAGATCTGTGATCTTTTTCTACGCATCGGTGCTGCGGATGGTCAAGTACAGCTGCCGCGGAAGGTCTCTGAGAGGGGGGAGGGCAGAGGCAGCCGTAAAGGTCCTTTTTCCGTTTGGGGTAGGTTTGCTCGGCTCGGCGGCCGCACCTGCTTCCGTGAGCGAGACTTTTTAATACCGTTGGGAGTTGGGGAAGGGTTTTTGTTTAATGAAGTTTCCATGTGAGTGTTTTTATTGGTTCCCCGCCATGATCAATCCCAACAAGGATGACCAGAGCTGTACCAGGGCTACTCCGGAGCTATACTCTCCACGAGAGCGCACAAGACTCTCCCGTCAAGACTGACCCAGAGCTTGAAGGAGTTTCAACTCCCAACCGATTGAGTGGCGTGGGCCGTGCCATCCTCACGTCTAAGAGGAAAACCTGGGCCAAAGAGGTGTGTTGGCGAGGGACAGTCCCTAGACTAATCTCTCGCCAACCGCCAGGTACCCTGATTCCCTCCACATGGGTCGCACCTCACGGTTAACAAGGCGCCCACTCTGTGGGATGGGTGACCTCTCTTTTTGCTGCACCTGAGGTTAGCGGTGGGAGAAAAGATAGAAGAAGAAAGAAAGGAGGAAGGAGAAAAGGAAGAAGCACCAAAGTCGGTGTCGCATCCGGATCCCAGAGGGTTGGAGTCTGTGTGCGACACCTCGTCTTTGAAGGGGTTACACCTCCTGCAGACGAAGCAGTGGGTCTATTTATATCCCCCCCCCGACTCACTGGGGGTAGAACCTATCATAAATAAGTTCATGCTTACATGCTTTTTGTAATATTCTATACTGATTCCAGAACCAGGCGTTCAGAATTTAAGTTTTACTTCTTGTCGAATTTTCAATTTTCAGCTATTTTTTCAAATGAAATCTAATTGAGGTGGAAGCATCACCCTAATGTGTTTGTTTATACTCTAATGAAGCTTCATTCCAAGTATAAGGGATCTGAATTTAAGGGTCTTGTGCGCCCCTGACATAAACAGTATTGAAAACAAGTACGTTTTAATTACGTTCAAGTCTAATCATCTCCATGTTTTAAATGACCCATACCATTAGATCTAATAATTTGTAACTGTTCCACTGCTGAGCGGCATGCATCCCTCTGCATTTTGATTTTCCGTTAAAAAAAAAGAGGCTCGTTTGTTAGTAGTTCAACTCTGGTAAAGTGTTAAAATAAAGCTGTTGCACCTTTGGAGTGTGTTTATTTTTATTCCTAAAAGTAGTAAATACTTGTAAGTAAGAAAAATATACTGAGGTTTGGCAATAAAACTGTCGTATCTGGAGTTACCATACCCCTGTCTGTTGAAATTTGGAATCCAAAAAGTCGTAACTCAAGATACGACACTTTGTCTTCAACATCTGACTGTCGTAACTGGTGTTACTACAGTTTGCTTGCAAGTTTCGATTTGCGGTTTATCGTAACTCATCATTACAGGAAAAGTGACACATGCAGCCCCAAGCTCATTAGAAGTACGAGCGTGAACTGTACTTTGATGCTCACGTGCAAAAAATGAAACCGGTATCTCTAACCGTTTGGAAATAAAACAGTTTTTTTTTGTCTCCTGAAAAGTAGCAAATTTTAGATACGACTTTTTGGAATGGTACTCTCGAAACACAATAGAACATCTTGGATCTCTTTTCTTTTTATTCTACAGTTGATGACGAATGAGCTATCTTCTGTTGTAGTATCAAGACTAGATCTAGTAACAACTGAGTGCAAAAGATGTCAATATTATTTTCTCTGTGTCCGAACGTCTGTCTATCGCCCTGTAGAAGAGTTCTCTCTACGACAGTGAAGCTAATGATTAGTGTGGCGAACTAAAAGCTGAGCCATTTTAATATTCTAATGATTTCTTTTCCGAGCATCCCTATCTGAACTTTAACCTTTCAGAAATCGCTTTGATTTACACGAGTTCCCGGAGCCGATCAAAAAATAATTAATTGAACGCACAAGCAGAAGAAGTATCTCCCTCCCTTTACAAGGGATGCTTGTCAGCAACTGAGACGAAAGCTCTTGTCCAAAGTATAACACAGAAGAGTACTTATGATGAGCTTCATGCCGTTTTTATAGTCGATTTTGCACGGAAATCGAACCGAAAAAGAAACCTGATTGTCAAGAAGCATTGATATAGGGTCATTTTTTCTTTCGAGCGCTTTTCCTGAACCGAGAGGAAGATTTGCAGGACTCTTTGTTTGTTGTTATCATGGTAAAGACGAATATAGATTTTATGAAACGTTTAGAAACTTAAAACTGAGGTGCATTCACGCAACTCCTCAGGTCATGCAAGAGGAAAGAGATATTATGATTTAAAAAATGAAATGCTTTTTGCTCTGAAGCTATTTATCGCTAAAACCAATTTTAAGGAATGCACGGCAAATTTGTTTGCACTAAACTGGCAAAGCACCATTATAAAATTATGTGTTTAAAGTCATTCAATGAGATAATGCTACGGATAAAGAAAACTCTTAGCATATTCTGAAAAACATAATATAAAATAGAACAAAGAATAAACTTTAAAAAAAATAGAACTGAAAGGATATTCTGGTTCTAATACGCATTTTGTATTGACATACTTGTTGTCCTAAGAAATGTTAAGAGTTGATGATATGACTAAAGTTTATCTGGCTGGCAACAGAGTGGAAGTGGAATCAAAAAGAGGGGAAAGAGGAGTGTTTCGAATAGCGTGAAACGAGTACGTTTTGTCAATTTGAAAACAAACAAGCTACTTCTTTCAGCCCTCGCGATTTATTTTTTGCAAATTGTAGCAGTAAAAAAATAAAGTACGCAGCTCAAAATTTCAGAATCAGAAATTGGCATTTGATACCAATTACTCTCTTATTTAAAAGTCTATTTCAAAAATTGCGACTGACAAATGAATCACTACATATAGTCTGAAATTTATAGTCCCTGGAGACAGATTCGTAACAAGGACCATTTCTTGATCAAAAGTTCTTTACGAGCTTGTAATCTGTTTGCTTTTATGCAGTTGAGAGTAAAGAATCTTTGGAGCTGTGCAGTTCAAGGAACATACTTTGTATGAACAGAAGTTGTTTACACGGTTTTTAAACAGTTATTGCTTATAGCTGATATATCGTAACCGAACATGAAAATAAGAAATGCACTTCGGAAGAAAGAGAATGATTTTTCTTTGCGCTTTGAGGTATTTCTGTCCGACCTTTTCGTTTTAGCGCGGGACCGTCTGTGTTTCTAAGAAGCTCACTATGCCTTGTGGATCATCAGATTAAGTGGAAAAACTTAAACTCACTTCGTTATTCCTAAACAATAATATGACATTAAATTTTTCAACGTGGCATATAAGTTGTAAGTCGTGTTCATTACATTAAAGAAAGCTAAAAAATATTTTAAATCAAAATGCTAACTATTTTTAAAAAGTAAAAATGTCACTATAAGTCATTATGTCTCGATTTTGGTCACAGGAACACCTTGCTTACTAAATCAAAAACTTGTTTAATAAAGAAACTAAAAAAAAACAACTAGCAACGGCTATTAATCATAAAGTGTCCACGGGTGTTGGCTGGGATCTCAGAGAGCAGTCAAAGGATGTGAAGGTGTAGGGGTTGGAACAGGAGAGCCTCACATTAGTTTCCGTCCGTTCCCAAATTATGTGTTCTGTCTCAGTCCGTCCGGTGACCGAAGAAAAGGGGAAAGGGGGGGGGGGTTTAGCCGCTTACTAATGTCTTGTAAATATCTATTATTTCGTTTCTGTTCTGCAAAAAAGAAGAATTATATGAATAAAGCCAGAAACTTGATTTTAGTATAACTTGTTATATACGTTGCCAATACAGCAAACAAAAGTGTCTTCTTCAGGACCCCAAAGTAATAGAACAAAAATGCTTCGACCGTCAAAATGTGTCAGGCCATTCGTAATACGACTGGGTCAAGTATACCAAAATTATCATAACTTTTCTCTTATACTGTATTTCTAAATGGAAAAGGAATGAGAATTTGTATTTTCCCTCTACTTTCGTGTGAGTAATTTGAGTGTGTCCTTTTAAAAAGTTTCCAAATATTATTGTTAATAAAAAGGGACTGTCAAAAATATTGTTGCGTGTGTGTGGTCATACCGAGCCCAACTGAATGGGCAATTGAATACGCATGTAGAATAGCCGCAGAATAATTATTTCGAGAAATAATGTCCCGACTGCTTCGATCTTGTCTGTCAAGATCATTCCATGCTCATGGCTTCCAGAAGAAAAGTAGAAATTACAGTTAGATAAACTTCTTCACGGGAGAATTTTAGTGACATTTTTCGCTGGCACTGGTAATGGACAAACTACTCCAGAGCACCCGCCAGCCACCCACGGTGCATCCATGTGACCCGTTGAATTGGCGCATGGCTTGTGCGCAAAAAACATTCTTACTGTACCTATCAATATCATACTCTTTTAGATGTGGATAAGCCGGTGAACTGAAGAAAACTATTGCTTTTGCTCATTATATCCTTGAAAGAAACTATTATAAAAACAGTAGACCCAAGCACATACTGATCTTGAATGAAATGTTGTTTCCTGTTCTGGCAAAAGTAAGACGGGTTTTACATCAAGGGGCATTCAATGACATAATCTCTAAACTAACAAGGGGATGTGCTGATAACGAAGCCCATATTTTGACGTATTATTTTTAAACGAAAAAATGTTAGAAGGCAATGTGCCGATCTATACAGAGTTCTAGAATGATTGCGTAACAACATTTTTTGTTGAAGCCTACCATGATGCCCTAGCGGATGGCCGTTGACAATTCTAAAAGCATTGTGGAGTTGACGCATTAGGAAGAGGGCACTCAAATTTGTCTTTGTTTATCTGAAAGCAATAGTTTATCTAGCTAGTACCGTGGGAACATGAGCCTCCAAGACTAGAAAAAATTGTCTAACATGTATTTTAAACTTTCAATTTCAGTCATATTCAGTAAACCAAAGCCGCAAGTTATGTCCTGCCGAGATTGCCATTCGGAACAGCCTCACAGCGCCCCAGACAGTGGCATGACAACAGAGGACATCGTGGGCTTGGTCAGCACTGACAGCCTTCAGGAAGCGGAAATGACCCCGAGACAGTTGTTAAGCGACGAAACAACTCGTTTGGTGATGCAGATCTTACTTATCTACGTCACTCCAACCATTGGGCTGCTTGGTGCGATAGGCAATGTGTTCAGCCTCATGATTTTGGTAAAACATGGGCTGCACAAGTGCTCCAACATCCTGCTCTTCTGTCTAGCTGTTACTGATCTCACTTTCCTCATCTCGTACAACAGCATCCCCAAGATCCTCTATGACGTAATCGGAGTGGATTTGGCGTGGGCGTACTCGGAGACAGCAGCAAGGGCCGCCTATATTCTTTACTTTTTCTTCAACACGCTCGACTACGCTGCAGGGTATATCTCTCTGACGATTCCAATGTTCATAACAATGGAGAGGATGGTCGCTGTTTTTATGCCTTTACGTTTTCACGAGATTATCACACCCAGGAGAACGTGGTTTACTACTTGGGGTTTATGTGTATTTTGGTTCACCTACAACATCTACACAACATTTTGGTTTAAGTTTGGTTACGTCTACAAGGCTAATCTCAACATGTCCGTGGGTGTGATCCAACGTTCAGCTCTCTATTACAGCGAGGTGGACAATGTCGTCTTCATGCAGGATTTCACAACCTATATCAGTATGAAAATCCCACCGTGTTTCACTCTGGTCGGCTGTATCTTCATCTCGATAAAAATTAAAATGGCGTCGTCGAAACGAAAGAAGCTGGCGTCTGCGAGTGGGAAAGAGGCGTCCTCCAACCGCACGACCAAGATGCTCCTGGCTGTCTGCTGTGTATACACTGTCACTTGCACCTTCGTTTGTTTACCCACTTACATCCCCCAGTACGTTTACTTCACTGTCACCGGCAATATCCCCAGTAACGTTGGACGTGTTGGCTATGTGATCATGAACCTCGTTGTGAGTATCAACAGCTCCTGTAACTTTGTCGTCTACGTTGGCATGAACAAAAACTTCAGAGACACCTACAAATCTTTATTCGTCGGATGCTGTAGATGTAGAATGTATTAATCTGCTGTAGGACCTCTAAATGACACATCGTTGAAAATGCGCTTCAACTTTATTTGTTAGTTGTGATTATCGTGCAGTTTGCTCAAACACAGGAACGACGCTTATCACAATGTTCCTTTAAATTATCGTGCGTGTGCTTGTGTGCCTTCACTGGGGGTTTTTCTCTTTTCTTTTTTAGACTGGGTTTGACAAATTTTTATATATTTGTGTCACTATCTTTTGTATCACCAGCGCTATAGTACTAACGTTGACCTCTGATGAATTCTTGATCATATTACGGAAACCGAAGTAGAAGCCAATCAGTTTCACAACGTCTTGCCATCTGCTCTTCGTTGACGAGACGATTCGGAATTCTCCCATCGCCCACGAGTTAAAGGTGTCCTGGCCAACTGAGCCTGCACTGAAAGAGCACTGAAAAACATCATGATGTTCGTGATTTTGTAGTATCTATGAGTTGGTAACTCTGTAGGCTATTGTCATGTCACTCCAGTAATCTTCAAGGGCTTTTCGTGGGGAACCTTTTGGATCGTATTTTTGTCGCTCCATTAACAACATGAACGACGTTGAGTCTGGAGGCTCTGTGAAATTTCCTTTTGCAATTCATTTTATATTTTTCTCTTTCCTGTTCCCGAAAAAATACATAATTATTTAATTGTGCTTTTTCACTTCTGTTATTAAAGATTTCGTATTTCAGAGTTTAATTAAAAGGTTATTTTCGTAACGAATTTTCGTATTTTAAGGTGAACAAGGGGTAATAATACAATGTGTTGTGGTTTTAGTAAAATCAAAAGAAAAGTTTATTGGTTTTTTTAATTATTTTCGTTATTCCTTTTCTCTTGTGGCGCTTTCGTCAATAGACCTACATGTATTTCCCTGTAAATCTTAAAAAGGAGAATGTTGTGAGCAGAGTTCGTGTGTGCATGTCTTTATAACTTATAATTGTGCGTGCTTTATGTATGTGCGTGCATGTGTGTGTGTGTCGTTAACTTATAGCTGTGTGTGCTTTTGTGTGTGTGTGTGTATTTGTATGTGAGTGCCTTCAACCTATAACTGTATGTGCTTTTGTGTATGCCTGTGTGGGTTTGTGTATGTAGGTATCTATGCGTGTATGTGTGTGCGTCCGTTTGTGTGTGTGTGTGAGATACGTGTGTTTGTGAAAGAGAGAGAGAGAGAGAGAGAGAGAGAGAGAGAGAGAGAGAGAGAGAGAGAGAGAGAGAGATTCAGGTAGACATATAGGTAAATAGTGAAAGAGATAATATGCTGGCAGACAGACGTACATACAGACAGACGGACAGACAGACAGACGGACAGACAGACAGACGGACGATCTCCAATAGTGAGAGAAAGAAAAAATGAAAGAAAGAAAGGAGAGAATGAAAAAGACCCGGAAAAAATGACAAAGAAACACTCCCACACCCCACCCCCGCAAACATCACCCTACACCCCCACACCACCCCTCCCTCCACCCACACATAAACCTCACCACACCACCACCCCCACAACCCCACTCCACACACAACCCCATCCCACTCCACACCCCATACGCGCACCCTCTCTCACACACAAACACAAACACACAGATATACAAAAATACAGAAATACACACACACATACACACACACACACACACACACACACACACACACACACACACACACT